TCCCCAGGAACAGGATTTTGCTCTTGACACAGAGCACTTGGAAATCCGCTAGTGAAGCCCAGGCACAGCTCAGCAGTCAACATCAGATCCTGCAGGTGCTTTTGCATTTTTTGCGCTTCTGACTTAGCACCAACTTACAGGATGCCAAGGACCAATGTTTGAATCATTCGGGTCTGCTGCTCTTACCCACGCCAGAAAAGGTAGCTCCTCCGTAACGAAATGCTGCAGCAAGCTGGCCATATCCGCATTTTCCCAGCCCTCGGCCTTTCGCGAATTTTGTGTGGCAGCTGAGTTCGGGTGGTTACAAGCCTACTGAGCCGAGTATCCACGAAACATGCAGCAAATAGGGAAGCAGGAAGTCCAGGAAGGAGATTCACCGCTGCAGCTCAACTGATGGATCATCTTCGCGGGCTCTGGGTTTTTTACAGGATGGGGTTTAAGGCCACATGTCCAGCGACCACTTGCGACTCGAAGTGCCGCGTAACACCCCCCCAACACCGGCGCGCTCGGGATGGTAGGATTGGGAGACATTCCGGCATCTGGACTGAACAAGAGTTGGGCTGGTGCCAGTCTCAACTTACAAACCCCAAAACCCTCTCAAGACCCGTCCAAGCTGCAAAGATCAGAGGCCGCTCATTGATGCGCAAACGCTCCTGCTGCAGCAAATCAGAAAAAGTATGCCCTGCGACGTCCGCTCCCTCCACCCTGATCCTACCCTTGATGAAGAGACGTGCAAGGGCACCCGGGCACCTTAAACACAGTATCGGACCTTCCACGACGTCCCTGGGGCCTGCTTCAGAGCCGCTGCGTAGAACGCCAGATTCCTGGAAAGCAGGGACGTGATTGCGCGAATTCATGAGATAGATGTGCGCCTGCACTTGCACTCATGGCAAGGAACTCTGTTTCACCACTTCTTGCAGCCATGGAGATGGCAATGCTACGAACCCTTTCGACTTTCGACCCTTCATTCTCTCACCCGCAGTGGGATACATCACCAGGACAGATTTGTTGTCGCTCGTCGCGATACAACTTTAACGGAGGACGGTGGAGAGCAAACCTACATCACGGACTTTTTGCAGTGATTCCCCCAAGGATGTTTGCACAAAATAGTATCTGAAGGTGTTATGGAGTGCCGCTAAGTGTGCAGCTCGGGGGCTCTGCAAAGCCCTGCACGCGGGATTGGCCGATGCTCTTGATTCCGCTCAAGCAGCCCCGCTCCTGACGGTCAAGATGCCAGGATTCAGGGTCCTGCGGGAATGGTTTTACGGTGGCCCCATGCTTGTGGGGTCCACCGTGCCTTGTTGAAAGACTTTTCTACGGGTGGCGAATTTGTGCTGTGTGTTTCTTGGGGGCTCGGCAGCTACAGATCCTACAAACTATGCAACGCATGTTTGAACGTGAAAGCCTCCATTTCCTCCATACGTGAATAGGAATATGAAACTTCGACGGCCCATTAATCCGCCTTGGCACTGGCCGTGAGTGCTGCCAGGACATCCCCTAACCGAGGTTCAACGTATGCGTTACTGACTTCCCAATGGTACCGCAAGGCAGTCAAGTGCTTCTTTTTTCTCCAGCCTACTTTTGCCTTCACTAGTTATGTTTACAATTTTCCCGCTACCATTATGAAGATTTCTACTTGCTACTATTCTCACTATACGCTTACAATTCGATCTCATGCTCGCGGCTACCATTTCTGCTCCTACAACTATTCTGTTCATAGATAGTAACTAAGATAGTATTCGTACAATGATCATCATCATCATTACTATTAATACTTATTTATATTCATTCACGGTACATATTTGTTGCTTCGGACCTTTTCTATTCAGCATTACACGCAGGAGGGTAGGCTTGTCCGCAGGCATTCGTTCGCATGACGGGGTTGGGAAGGATTCGTATGTTTTTCATGCAGGTTCCCATCTTAGTATCTTCTGAGAAAAACGGGGGTTGGGGTGGGGGGGGGCCCGCGCCCCCCCCCCCCCCCCCTTCACCCCCCCAGTTGCAAAAGACAAATTTGCAAAAGACAGTTCTGCTGTAAAGACTTCAAGGACGGGGCACTCCAGGGACTCCCTGGGGATACTCTGGGGTGGGATACGTGGGATGGGTAGACCGATCGAGGAGAAGTTTAGTTTAGAATCTATCAACCCCACTTGCTTCTACTCCTGCAAGTGTTGTCAGCCTCAGCCATGCTTTAAAAACCCCCCAAAGCCTGTATAAACATCCCAAAGCCCAGCCCCTTCTGGATGAAGCTGAAAGTGTGCCGGGCGACTTGGCGGGCTACTGATGAGTAGTTTTCTAGTTGGTCGAAAGAGGAACTCCGCTGGGTTTTGATTAATGCTTTGTGGAAGCGTAATTGACAAGGGCCGGCCGTTTGAATGATCTGGCCTGCATGTTGAGTAGACATCGGAAGCACGTCCTGCACTCATTGCATCAGCGGTCAAGTCAAGAAGGCACGTCTGCTCTCTCGGAAAGCCGTCACCTTCTGAAGCATAAGCCAAACAGTCACACGTGAGCTCAGGGCCGTCGATTCCATAGCCTCCACTACGAAACAGGATCGCAGAGCAACACGCGAACCGCACATAACATGCAAATGCCTGCCAAAGCCCGCACACCTCAACCCGATATCCCAATCTCTCAAGCCCGCCAAGTGCCACCCTGAACCCAAAGCCGCTCCGGCAGGACTCGGCATCGACGAAGTTCACGATGGCGAGGCCCGCATGAGTCCCCCCACCCCCCGGCATGTGGACAAAGTCGTACCTTCCCCAAACAATGGAGACGTGAATCAGGGCTGACGACGTCTGAGATCGTGTGAGGGTACTTCAGGGTGTTTGAGGGTGTTGAGGGCGCTGGGGCCTGGGCTCAAAACCTTACCGCAAACACCGCACGATTTGGCATCGAGCAACTCAAGTGAAACGAACCTGTCAAAATACAAGGTCGGACTCATGGGGCGCAGCCCCTTAATTACGTCGAGAGTTCGGTTCTGGCACGGCCGCAAAGACTTTCCTGGACCATGCAAAGTCCGCATCTGAGCATCTCAACCGTGAAGATCCATACAACAGAACATGTCCTAAATACAGCAAGGGATCCAGGTTTGGGGAGTTCGAAGATCAAAGCTGTGCAGCAAACAATGAAAAACAATCACTCTCGGAGACTCCTAGATATTCCCAAGGCCGTCAGCACTCCAGAAAGCGACCGACCTCGGGGTAGTGAGGTTGGTGGAGCCCTTGGCAGTGTCCAGAAGCTGCAAAATCGCACCGATGGTGTACCGCTTCGAGATGCCTCGCCTCGGGTTTCCATATGTTTCAGGCTTTCTGCTTGGGGACTTCGAACTTCTGTTTGGACATCTTTATCTTCCGGCTGCCATCGATCTAGGTTCCATGATCCGAAGGGCTCTCCGCAACAACAGCGCAGGTAGCCGACATGACAAGAACAAAAAGCGGCCTAGGAATTTCAAGCCTCCAGCTCTTCAGGCTCCGACAGCCCCAAGCATCGTCACTTAACTTTTTTGCTGATTCTGAGTGATTCTATTTTGGTCTAGTTTGTGGCTTTTGCCCCCAGGGTTGCTCCTGATTCAAGGCAAAATGGAGCCATGCACCGCTGCTTCTTGCCGCCTCATTGAGAGAAAGATTTTTTGAGAAGAATACGGCGCGGGGGACTGGCAAAGAACGAAGCATCGGAGCAGGTTTTCAATCCTGGCCACATAATCTTTCGGGCCCACGGCTGGCTGAATCACGCTGAATCTGCTGTTTCCGGAAGCATGACATAGCAGTGCAACTCCAGCAGAGCATGCTTGCGACTGGGAGTGATGCGGCTATGGACCTTAACCTTGGACATGTCTCGAAACCCATCACCTTAAGAAGACCAACTTAGGACCAAGTTTGAAAGGCATCTACAGAATCCACAGCCGAGATGCAGAGCCAGCGTCGTCGCATTGTCATCAAGTGTTGCGCTTGTCGCTGCCATGGAGCAATTGCAAAAAGTTGGGCGGGGGTTCTCAGTAGAAAGTGACAGTAAATGGAGTAAAACGAGTCTTCCTCTGGTCACAGAGTAAACACAAAGTGCAGACACGTAGGGTGATGTCATGACTTGCCATGGTCTGGATAAACACTGCCCAGGGCCTCGGCCGAGGGCCTGCCCCCGAGCCTGAAACGGCTGAAAGAGTCGCATCTCAAGCCGCGGATGTGGTCCCCCCCCCCCCCACGTAAAGCATCGAAAAAACTTAAGAAAGACTTAGGGGAGGGCTGTGGGGGCGGGGGGGGGAGTTTAAAGGGGTGAAGGTAAGGAAGGGCGGGAAAAGCTGGAAGAGGGTTGGGGCTAGGGTTAGGGAGGCTGAGAAGCGGCGGCCGAACACAACTTGTCACATGCTGCCCTATTGTGAGAGAGAGAGAGAGAGAGAGAGAGAGAGAGAGAGACGCGTCTACTCTTTGCTTGTTGCAGCAGAATTTGGGTCTCCACCTGCTGCAAGGAAGCTATGCGGCAACTTCGATGGTCATGTCGAATAAGTCGAATGCTGATGAAAGCTGATCCTGAACAACAAACCGGAATCTCGGCCATAGCTCCGAGATGCACCCCTCGCTCCTACCCACCATTGGGGGGAGACCCCCCTTGCTGAGAATTTGGAGGGAGTACACTCATCGGGCCTCTTTCTTCTCAACTTGGGTTGTCGAAGGGCCGCGGCCACTTCGCGCCGGCACGGGGCCGAACACGAGCAGATAACTTTCAAAAGCGCATGCCTCTGTCCTTGGGCTGTCCAGGCCCGAGCCATCGAGCCTCACGAGACATCCAAACCGCCCTAACTATGCACAGCGCATGAAAAGCTGCACGAAATTCTCCAGTCTCAGGAATGTCTGTGCGAAAGCCCAGAGATTCCAGTGGCTACGGCTGACACCTCAGGCTGTGGTCTCTCCAGGAAGGGCACGGCCGGCTTGTGCGGCTCAACACAAAAACTCGCGAACTTGAGCGAAAGGTCAATCATGACTCATGACCTTTCCTCAAGAAGGCTACACTGGGAAGGACATGAGTGACCCTGAGGATTCGGAGGGCTGCCACCCCTCGAAAGCAGGCGTTGGAATCAAGCAGAGGAGCTGGAAGACGCACGCATCTTGGCTGCACGACACTTCTTCAGAAGGCTCGCTGTAGGGTCAGGGTCGGTGACAGGACAAGTCGTTGCCAGCTGGCACCTCATGAACTTGCTGTAGAACACCTGCAACACCTGCTGCAACCTCTCCTCTTGTGCAGTCAGGCAGCCCAGAAAGAATGCGACAACCCAAACCAGCTGAGGGAACTTTTGCCCCCAGAAGACAGGCTTCAGGGAGGCAACGAAGACCTGATGGAGTCGACATTCGTGCGCAGGGGGCGCAGAAGGGTCGTGCAGGGCCGCGCACAGGGGGCATACCGGGGGGCGCACACGGGGGGCAGGAGGGACGCGCAAGGGGCGCAGAGAGGTTGCGCCGAGAGGGCTGTCGCGGCGCGCAGAGAGCACAGATTGGCCAGGTGCGCGGAGAGGGGGTTTCGAGAGGGCGCACGCGCAGCGAAAGAGGGTGCACACGCATGCAGAGAGGGCGCAGGGCGTGCGTGCAGGGACGGGGCCTGCGTGCGCGCATGGAGAGGGCGCGTGCGCAGAGGGGGCGGGCGCGCAGAGGTGGCGCGCACAGGGGGCACGCAGAGGGCGCAGGGTTGGAACACGGACGGGGCCCGCGCGCAGAGGGGCGCGCACAGGGGGCACGCAGAGGGCGCAGGGTTGGAGCACAGAAGAAATTGGTAGGTCCGTTGTGGTTCGTTCCCCGTGTTTCTGCACAAAAATTTACAAATAATGCTCCACCCAAGCAACGGCCGTAAAGATCGGCGGGCCCACCAGACTTGTCAGTTCACTGGCAGACTCGAACAAGCCCAATACGGTCCCAGCAGGAATTCCAGAGGTTTGCGCCACGTTGACCTGCCAGAGAAGGCTTTCCGAAAGTGCTTTGGGAAGGCGCGGGGTGCAGTTGAATCTCGGATCCAAGGCCGAGCCTTCAGCACACTGATAAAGGTGCCCAGCAGACTCGTAAGACCCTCCAAGATCTTGGCGAAGTAGAGCGGTGCCAAGGATCTGCCAAACAACGCCCTGAGCAAGCCAGCAGAAACCGCTTGCTTCTGCACATGTGTCAGGATGTTGTTGGTTACTGACACGAAGGGTCTGGGCTACTGAGAAAAGCCCCATGCTCAAGAACACAGGTCACCATCACGCAGCCCAGTTTCAGAAGCACGCTGATCATGCCAGCTGTCATTGAGATCAATACCTGCCGTTTGGTGCTCAAACGTTTCTTCATCAGCCGGAGAAGGACAAGGTTACCTCAGATGCCAGTGCTGTGCCAAGGACGAGAAACATAACCGTTGCTGCTTCGTACGACCGGTTGAAGCAAAGAGGCTTGGCATTCTATTAATTTGCATGCGCAACGCTACCGCCATATTGAAAGCTCCAGTTCTGACAGGAAGACGCCAGGTCCAAATCAGCTACCAAAAGCAAAACGATTGCATAAAGCCCGCTTCTCACAAGCGGCAGAAGAGGCCGCTGGCGACCCCAATCAGACTCAAGGTGGCGCGCAACCTCGACGTCATGCCGAAGACGTCCTTGTTGTACTGGCCCTGGGAAGGTCAGAGTCCAAGGACGTGTAGTTCAATGATTCAGGGTGGACCTGGCAATTTGCGGATTCGCGCTAGCTCTCCGGAACTTCTCGCGTGCATGGGAGCTTGGGTGCACGATCCACTCCTGGTAAACTTTCTGGTGTGGAGCCCCTCCAGCTGGCTGTCATGGCAGCTGCTTAGCTGTCAACCTAGTAGTAAATTCGCCAACTCTAAAGAATCTCCAAATGCCCCCCTCATGCGGCCAAGGTTGTTGATGATGGAGGGCAGTTCAAGGGTCTGGGATTCAGGGCGGATCAAAGGATGAAATGAGCACAGCAGCGCTGACATCCGCCATGCCCCGCGTGACCGCGCTGCTTACGAGCACGAGGATCAGCACCTAACTCGAGCCGTGATCTCGTGATCTCGATCTGATCAGGACACTGAAGCAGAGTACCTCCACCCCGGCTTCAATCAGAAAGCCCCCAAAGCAGCATTTTCCAATGAAATCCTGAAATCCGGTGGGCTCGCATACATGGGCGCTTCCAAGAGCAGCTACTTTTCCAGCCGAGATGCGGTCCGCGACGTCGGATCCTCAGAGCTCTCGGCAGAGGCTCTCTCGGGGCTGATGCGACTAGGGCGTTCAGAAAGGTTCTCCCCTTCCAAAGCCTCTTCTTGCAAATTAATTGCAAGAACCGTTTTTTCGGGTCTCAAGAAAATCCGGCCTTCAGGAGTCGCTTGGAGCACTCCAAGTATGACATGCCCGCTGAGGATTCGCCGCTGCCTGCCGAGTCCCCTACATCAGACCTCTGGCAGCTCATTCCCCGGTTCACATTCTGGCCTTGAGTTGGGGGGGAGTGGGGGGATGGGGTTCCTCTCCAAGGCCTCCAGCGGCGTGGGAGCCCTTTGACCTCGGACCCGCAAGGCAAGACATAGAACCTTTTGTCCTTAATCTGCAGCAGCAATGAGGACACTTGCTTCAAAATCGAATCCCTGCAAACCTGTCCATTGTATCACAGACCTCGGCCCAGGCTTCGGGGCCCCAGCGTTGCAACCCCATCTCCCAACCGAGACCGGGGCTCTGGAAGCATGAAGATTGCAACAAGGACAGCGCCCAGCTTGAAGAGCACCATCAGATCCAGGATCTTGGGGACCGCAGCAGTCAAAACCATTTCAGAACATGTCAAAGACACGGCGTCACTCTTGCACAATTTCGAACACATAGAAAATACGCAGCCGCCACCGTGGGGTTGCATGTCACATGGTTCTCTTCCGATTTGCTCGAATTGCTGACTCATTTGCCCGCTGCTGGGGACAGCATCTGGCATCTGGACTCAATCTCCCGGCTTTTTGCTGTGCACCTGCCCTGCAAGTGAACAAAGAAACTTGGTCATGCCAAGAACCGCATCCTCTTTTCCGTTTTCATTCAAATCCAAATAGCTTGGGTTGAGGTTGGCGGTTAGGCCTGCCACTGGCATGTGCAAAAAGAGAAACCGAGAATAAACGACGATAGCAACGCAGCACAAGCTCTCGAGCATGGATTGGAAGAAGGCGGTGCTCTCATTGAGGTGCCTAGCATACCTGCAACTTGTTGTGCAACCTGCGGCCTCACCCGCCTACACCATGCTTCAGTGGTCGAGCGGCAATCGCCTGGTTGGTGACCGCGGTGCCCACCAGGGGCGCCACTGCGCTCTGGGCGGTGGGCGGAAGGCGACTTTACGAAAACGAGCTTTGGTTCGAGAGGCCTCATGAACTCTACCACGACTCCGATCGGAGCAAGCACAAGACCCGAAACACCTAGCTGTCGTCACTGCTCTCTGGGCCGTTACGCATTTTGTACTGTTGTTTGGCTCGTGGTGCTGATAGGAGCTTCCGCTCTGTCACCAATGCATGCGGCAGCCTGCAAACCCCAAAAGAGCTTGCTCAACCACCAACGAAGCCCCGAAAGTCCGAAACAGAGATCCGAAAATACGTTGCAACATGGGCCTCCAGGATCGTGGTGGCAGTGATGATGCCAAAAAAAGTGGGTCGGTCCTCCTCGTCCGTCATGTCCATAGCCCAAATGGTGTACAGAACCTCTGACGCGCTTTGGAAGAGTTGCCGCATGCGCGCTATTTCTTGTTTGCTTGCAAGAAAGCGCAGGGCAGCACGAGCCCGGGCCCTGGCCCTCCTAAGCGTAGGTGGCCAAAATGCACCTATCTACCCGATGTAAACGCATAATGCGAGCGCAATGAAGATGTGCAGGTCTGCTCCCATGATTTCCCCCGGTACAGTAACTTTCGATTGAGAAGGGTCTGGCTTTAGGGCTGAGGGCCTCAAGCAGTGCATGTGCGGAGATTTTGAGATTTTAGGCGGTTTAGTCAACGTCGCACCGCTCTCGTACAAAAGGAAGTAAACAGAGGCCAGGAGGCACTGGACGGAAAAAAGGCCTCGAGCAGTGATCCCACGTAAAAGAAGTAGAAAGGCCACCTGGAGCAAGTTCAGGGAAAGTGACTCGGGCCCTAAGCACTTGGCAGCGCTCTTCGGGGTCTTTTGCATAGCCGATGGCAACAAGTTTGGGTTCAGGTTTCGACTCTCTTGATGGTCTCGACCTCTTGTTGCAAGCTTTAGCGACACAGCTACTGTGTAGCAGCTGCTATAACTGCTACTGTGCTACAGGTTCGCTGATTCAGATGTTGTTGGGAGCGTTGGGCCGCGTAGGTGTGGCTGAAGCCTGAAAGCGCGCACCAGAGGGCTCTGCACGCCTCATCCGCCAATCCACAATCCCTTTTTTCAGACTGTACCACTGGGTACCGGCCTGAAGTAGTAAACAAACAGGACCGATAGGGAAGAAAGCTTGCTGGCCAGCACCTCGGCACGCTTGGGGAAGGAGAACATGGGAAACCCTGCTGTTCGTCTAGGTGCATCTTAGGCAGGTCTGGGAGCAGTGGAATCTGACACCTGTGGGTGTGGAGGCCCCAGCACTCTGTTGGCTCCATCGCACCGTGCTTTTCCTCGCGCTCTTCGAGTCGGGGCACTGCGACGCTTGTCCTCACAATGCCTCATATTATGGAAAACGAGGCACGTGGAACCGAGCCTCACGACGTCTTTGGTGTTTTTTGATCGCGCGAGTTATGCAGTCAGGTTTCGACTGCACCCTTTTTCGGCGCTGCGCCTCTTGGCAGACTCACGCAGGCCCAGTCTTTCGCAGGCTTCCCTCCCCAAGCCCACGCAACACCAGACTGTTGCGTGTAGCATTGACCTGGTTGGCAAGCCACGGAAGAGGCCCAAAACGCCGTGCTTTTGGCAGATGGATCGGAAAGTGCCCAAAGTGGACCTCTGCGCCAATGCTCCTTCTCCGCTCAGTGCCACGGCCTGGTACGCCTCTCCCATCATCAAGCCCTTGACCCTATCGAAAGGGTAGTTCACTGTCGCCGCAATGAGGCCTGCAAACATAAAGCCTACGGTGCTGACAAGGAATCGCGTGCTAGACGAACGTTCAACCCCGTCTTGGGAGACCCACGCCCGCAGCCGACTGTTGTAGAAGAAAAGCTGGCCATCGAAGAGCGCAGTTCGGATCACCAAAGGCGTGGCCGCGTAGAACTTCAACCTCCAGGGAGCTTGCCACGCTCCCTGTAGCACTGAAGGGTAAATCCTCGATTGGATCTTCTTCTCCTTCAACCAAGACTCTTGTAGGGCCATGATAGTTTTGATCTGCTCCAGCGGTGTGGCTACAAAGCCGCACAGTGCGCCAATGCTCGCGCCTGCGATTGCCGGGCGCCAGTAGTCCGGCACACGGTTCAATGCCCAAAAGTTGTCGAAGAACCTGTAACCGCCAAACATCAAGGCCCCCATGATGAAGGAATTTGCGCCCACACCGGGATAACCCCGAAATATCCGCAGCTTGTAGTCCTGCAACACACACACACACACACACACACATACGTCACACGTCCGAAACATGCGTCTCGACGGGGCTTTTGCCCTCGAAATACCCCAAATCATTCCAATCCAAATCTGGACTTGGTCTGCCACCAGGCTTTGGGCTTTGTGCCGACGCCTCAAAGAACCTGCATCAACCTAGGTCTGTCCAAAAGGTCCCTTGTATTCCCTTAAGGTCCTTCATCAAGCACGGCAGGCTGGAGAGCCGGCTGTACCTGGGGTGGCCCGACTGAACCTGGGCGAGGGAACTCAAGATTCAGGATTGTGATCCTGGACTTAACCTGCGCTAACCTGCCCCCGATTTCGCCCCAACTTGCCACAACCCCACGGCGAAGAACTGCCAAACTAGACGCAGGTTAATTAGCAACGCCTGAAGTCCCCACATGCTACAAATACCCCTAGCCCGCTGCATCTGCGAGCCTGCGTCTTCAAAACGTCCAGCGGGTAGGCGACGAAGGCCGCGTGGGCACGCAGCACAGCGCCTTCTGTGGCCTGCTGACTCGCGTCTAGCATCTAGAAAATCAGCATGCAGTGCCTGGGGGTTCAAACAGAGGAACACGCCTAGTGGGGGTGTGCACACGTTCATGTGCGCATTCGTGTGGGCGCTCCCAGCATCTCCCAGCATCCTGCTGCTGGACCAGAGGGTCGGCCATCGACACCGCGGCGGTGTCGAAGGCCTGGCCGCAGATCTCCCAGAAGCTTGGTCCCGCCATCTGCGCCATCGGCTCCCAGGAGCTGAGATCCACACAACAGTCTATTTCAAATTTAAAAAAACTCAAACTTTAGAAGCCCCCCCCTTTTTGAAGACTTAAGCCCACCCCTCTTTTCACTCGCGATGGTGGGAAAAAACAAGAGGAAGAAAAGCAAGCCCCGAAAGTCAGAAGGTCGCAAGTCTGAATGAACATGATGGGGCCTATTCTCCAGCAATTTCCATGGCTCCCTGAAACCAAGGGAAGTTTGCCTGTGCGAAATATCTGGAAACCACGTATCACTCGAGCCAAAAATGAGGCATGCACCGCTTGAGCTTGGAAATAGCAAGCCTCTCTGCAATGTGCAATGCCATAAACATCCACACTCTCAAGTCTTCGAGCATCTGAAAAAAAAGGTAGCAGGCGCCCCTAAACCAGCCTTGAAACAAGGGGCGGCAAGAATGATCATGGGTCGTCGACCGAAACGGTCGGCAGCTCGCCCCATTATCGGGTTGCTAAGAAGATTCCTCGGATTGCTGATGTAGGCAGATGCGACGCGAAAGTGACATGCAGAAGGCTGACCCTGTACCGGGCGGATCACCTTGGTGGATCCTTCAAGAGTGCCAACATCACCATGTTTATCTAAAGCACGGCGAGCGGCAATATCGAACAAACCATCTGCACCCTCAGCCAGAAACTGCGCATGCTTGCGCGCGCGCACACTCCAAAAGTACTCCAACAAGTCTTGAAAATGTGGGTGTTTGGGCATTTGCTGAGTCCCCATGCGTGACAGCCGTGGAGGTTGTGGCGGCGATGGCAGCATCACAGGCCTTTGAGCCTTTACCTGCTCCATTTGTGCCATGCATCCATGTCCACTTGTCGTTTACTTGCCACAGCAGCTTGGCACTGTCCACGAATCACAATCAATGCCAGTGCAAGCATTTGCATCTTTACAAGGCAAGCAAGCGCTGCCTGCACCAGCGCACGCATCGTATACTGCATACCCAATGACCGCCAGATCCTTTTCAGCAGCACCACAAAACGCACTGGCAACCTACAAGTGCGCATAACAGGCTTGGAGCACACTGCAAGGCGGCAGTGCACCATCAACAATTGGACCAAGACGCTGGGAGAATCAGCCCTGGCATCATCCAACTTGTCATGCATGCCACGTTCACACCATTTTTGCTCAGCAACGAAATTAATAGCTGGATGGGCAACAGAATCGTGCATGAACGAGACATGACCCTCCAGCATACCGCAGCCTCCGAAGCCTTCTCCAGCACTGTCCAGGAACAACAGGGCAACAGCAGCGGCCCAAGCCTGTGTTTTGAAGCCTCGCGTGCACAAACTCGATCATCAATGTCTTCCCAATGTCAGCGAATGTCTGCAAATCATGAGCTTATTTACCAATTCTTGATTTTGCCAGGTTGTTAAACGGCAGCAGCCCTCCCGCCTTGCAGCCTGCGTGCAGGTTGCTGCACCTCGCGATGACACGCAGTTCAGGCGTCACAAACAATGCAACTCGCTACTACCCATGCCTCCAACCGCTCTCCATCCACAGCGGGCATGGTGAATGCTGTATTTTAGGCAGGGTGGTGGGGGCTCTATCCACTATTTGCTGACGTGGGGTCTGAATCGTTCCCAAGCCCTGAGCTATGTTTTTCTTGTTATTCTAATGTTTGTCATCAAGTTCTGCGCAAAACAAGAGTACATGCCAGCACACGCGAGGCATCCGTATGAAGCTTTCTCAACCATAAAATTATGCTCCTCTCTGATGCGCATGAGCCGACGGCAGAAGTAGAGACACATGCACATACACGCACACACACTCACGAAGTCATAACGACTCGGACAGAGCAAATCCAACGAGCTTGTCAACTGCTGATTTCTTTCCCTCAATTCTGCCCCTGAATTTGGGCTGGGCCTACGGATTCTGCAGAATCTACCCGGATCTACACCCTCTCCATCTTCCCCCCCCCTCGCAGCTTTTTCTTGGCGCGGCTTTGCCGAACGACCAGTCTTGGAAGTCGAAGCTGCTCTCTGGTGCCGGGAAGCCTTTCTGGCCTACAAAGACAAGTACAGATTGCAATTTGTTTGGCACATCCTGGGCACATCTGATGCCCAACTCGCCTAGAGCTCCAGAACTGCATCTTCAGCATTGCTGGGGACGTTTGGCGTCGGCGATGCGGGCGACGCGGGCGACGCGAGCGACGTGGGCGACGCGAGCGACGTCGGCCATTCTGACAGCTCAACCCGCGGAAACCCGAAGCTGGCCAGCGCGGAACCAGGAGAATCAGGAAAACCTGCTTTACACAAACACAGCACTCCCTATGAAATCATGAGACGTTTCTTGTAACCGTGTTTTGCCACAGTGCTGAGCCTGCAAATGAGTCCAAAGAGACGGAACGCCATGCCTGCACAGCCACGGGCTGTTGCAGTCGCTCGGCAATGAGCTTGGCCTGCAAATCCAGCTGCCGTGCATTGGAGCTCCTGACAATCTGAGTTGACATTGATCGCGCCCCAGAGATCCTCTGAGCCCTGTTCCTCCCCCCAAAATTCTCTGAGTTTAGCCTGGATAGCGTCTTGCAGCGCAAGAGCAGAGCAAAAGCCGAGAGAAAGCCGAGCAAAAGGGCGTACAAAGGCCATCCTGAGATATCCTGAGCTCCTGGGGGTGAAGGGCACGGAGGTCTCGTGGAAGATGGTCTCTAACACCTGCACATAGCGTGCCCTGTCGAAGCCATCTTGGTCCTTCAATTCATGTCAATTCCAAGTGCTTCGCGGAACCAAAAAGAACTGGAGAAGACTTTGCTTCAGGGGGAACTTCTCCATCAGACTGCCGTATTGACGTGGACAAAGACTTGAAACTCTGCTAAGCAGGTTCTTTAGATCTTCTGCGGGGTTGCTACGGGGATGTTGCGAAGTTTTCCGGCTCATCGAACTCCTCATTGAACTCGTCATTGAGCTCATGGCCAAACGGGATCTGGAAAGAGTCCTCCGCGAGCACGGGCAGGACAAAGCTGGAGCAGAAGCTCAGCTGCAGTAGCCATGAGGCCATCTGCCTTGACTCCAGGCAGCCCTCCGTGCACAGGAGGAGGGCATGGACGTCTTCAGAGTCCACTATGTCTCCGGTTCGCAGGACACGGAGTGTCTTCTTAAGGGACAGCCCAATCATCTTGGCACCTAGCAAGGCGAACAGTACTTGGGCAGCAGCCATAGCTTCCATATTCGCGGCATCGCAAAGGATCAGGCACTCGGACAGATTAGACACCACGCGCATCATGGGGAGATCCGATCCTTTCCTGGTCCATTTTGTTGCTCCTCCCGTCAGCCAGCTGATCGCCCCAGGGATGGGATCAGAATCGAAACTCTTCAGGTCGAACCTCTCCAGGCTCTGCAGCCAGAGCAGTGTTTCGTGAATCTCCGGCATGCCAATCCCGTAAGCTGCCAGCTCCTTCGGCCAACACCCAAAAACATCCCCCACCCCCTTGTACACCCCCCAAAACACCCCCGAACACCTGCAACAAGGAGTCCTTGATGTTGGGCACCATGCTGTCGTACAGCGCAATGAAGCGCTCGTCGGGCATTGTGAAATCTGGGAGTGCCACCAGCAAGGTCGTCCTTGAGCACCAGGCAAGGCAGCCTACTGGTCTTTTGGCGCTGGGCTTGGGGTTAGAAACCTTCCGGGGCTTCCACCGAAGCTGCTCCGAACCAGAACGAAGAGGGGGAGTCCTTCTTCAAGCTGATGGGGAAATGCCCCACCAAACACCCCACCAAACACCCCACAACAACTGTCAGATACAATCTCATACGTGTTTTCCTCTTGATGCTGTTGCTGGCCCAGGTTCACGTTGTGAAGCCGTGCCGTGACGATCTCACCTACGCACCACTTGCCTTTGCTGGTCTTTGGCGCCTTGTCTACCACTTCAATTCGCTTACGCCTTGAAACCCCTGAATGCCCATGTACTTATAGGTTAGAAAACTGTTGTGAAGAACCACTACCAGGCTGCGAGTCAGGAAGTTACCGCTGCCCAAGACAACAAGGGTCTCGACGTCTTGGCTGACATAAAGGAAGAGCCGAGTCAAATCCGTCAAGTCGTCGCAGTCAATGAAGCTCCTAAAGCCACACTTGCTGAGCTCAATCTTGAAGAGCCTTGCCAGGCTCCCTGCAGCACTTTTCTGATGACTGATAAAGAACTGGAATTGCTTCCGGTACTTCGAGCGGCACTTGCGGAAGAGAGCATGCGCCACCATCGAAAGGATTATGAGCACGACCGATGAGCTGATCAAGACGCAGGCAACCATCACAAGAGCAGACTCCTCAGTCGGCATGAAAAGCATACCCATGTCCAGGATCACTAAGAAGGCCGCGTGGATGACCAGCTCCAGGTAGAGCGCGGCCATCGTCCGCAGCGGCTTGAAAAAGGCAACCGCGCAAAAACTGGTGTACAGCAAGACCTTGATGAAGAAGAGGCTCGCAAAGGAGGAGGGAAGCAGGGGAGATACGACGATGAGCGCATTCCGGACCAGAAAGGCCCCAGCGAAAGCCTCCGCCCCGGGCCGGAAGCGTGCCCACAAGAAGGAGCAGCTCCTTGAAGAAAGTACAGTTTTCACAAACGGCAGCCCCAAGCAGCAGGGAGCAAACAGTTTTACATGAAAAGCGAATCAAGCGGAAGGCAAACCGGGCAAGAAGTCGAAGACGAGAGAGTCGAGCCGGCTCGTGCTGAAGCAAGGACTTGCATGGACATGCCTTCGCAGAAGCTTCCTTCTTGCAGAGGTGAGGGGTGGCAGGGGTTGAGCTTCGCTTTCTTTGCTTGACGCGGTGAAGCAAAACAGTTCACTCCGCTTTTTGGAGGTGCGCCGGGAAGGTCGTGAAGGGCGCTGTCTGGATCTGGATGCAAACTGGTGGCTCCCGTTGTCCAACATCCTTGCCTTGTCTCGCTAGGAAAAGACCTGCTTTAGGCTGAGGTTTCTTCCCGACATTCGAATCGACCACTGCATTCGAGTCTAGGGATTTCCACCCGTCACTCGCTCCTCTTGCTCAAGGTTTGCTGACAAGCACCCATTTTGAGGAACAGGCTCACCGCCACCCTTGGGGTCAGGAGAACGGCTTCCACGGCTTTGGGAAGTTTAGGTGTGTTGAGGCGCTTTGAGGGGCAGATTCTTTTCGCTGTAGGCCCCAGACCTGCCGCCGCGTTCCGACGGGGAGATCTGAATGTGACAGATGAAAAGCGTGCGCGCGCACGCGCGAGCGCGCGCAACATTTAAAGCGACAAGAAAGCAACGCCAAGAGTCAGTGAGTACAGATCGACACCGAAGTCGGCACTGTAATTCAATGAGTGTGCTGCTGCCTCTTGTTAGGTACAACTGCCCACATGGAATCACGATGAATACATTTATGATGGCTTGACAACATCACCGCTGCAAAGCATGAGCTCCGCAGGAAGTCCACGTCGAAGACTTCCAGCCTTCGCGGCAACTCCACGTAGACCAGCCAGAAAACCAAAACCATAAATGCGAGCAGAACGAGGCTCACCATGCCACCCATGAGGCACATGCGCAGGTGGCTCCCAGTGAAATCGCACGATACAGTCTGGTAGACCTGACAGACTCGCATTCAAAACCTATGCCTCCTCCTTACAGCGACTTCAGGTGCAAGTAGCGGGTGAGGAACCCAAAGCAG